CCCTTCCCTTCCCTTCCCTTCCCTTCCCTTCCCTTCCCTTCCCTTCCCTTCCCTCCAAGGTGCTCCCAGCCTGGAGCGGGACGGTGGCCACCACTGTGAGCACCAGGGTCACGTTTGGGAGGGGGACACCCAGGGACAGGAGGTGACCGGGGTTGACGGAGCGTCCCAGCCATGCACGAAGCCTGCACCTCCCGTGCTGCTTCCCAGTGCAGGAGGGAGCAGCAAAACGGGGCAGGCGCCCGGGAGCGCCGACGGCCGCCGCGTGAATCGGGAGCCATGTGGCAGCGCCGTGGGCGCCGATCCTCAGCCCGCCCGAGCGCCAGCATCCGTCTCGATTAGCATCACCTCGCTCCTAAGCCTGCTTTGCCCAGCCCCGTAAGCTGCTTTCCCAGGGCCCCGGCAAGAAGCGCCTTCCTTGCCCACTCTTACTCATGAAGCATCTCCCGAATTAATAAACTAATAGGATTGTGGCGGCCAAATCCCGGTGCGGCCGCGCGCGCGCACGTCGCGGGGCTGCGGGCGGCGCGGCGGGGCCGGGCGCGGATATAAGGCGGCGGGAGCGGGCACGCGGCGCCGTCCCCGCGCCGGCGAGCACCAGGACACTGCCGGCACCGACACCGGTAGGAGCGCCCCGCGGCGGGGCTGGCTCTGTGGGCAGGGGTGGTGGGCCCTGGGGAGCAGCGGGGACAGGGGTGGCTGGGGGTCAGGGCGGGGGGCTCGGAGGCGTCGTGCTGGCCGGGCAGGGGGCTCCGGCAGGGCGGGGAAGGCTCCAAATCCCTCCTCTCCGAGGGCCTCGGACTCGGCTCTTCTGCTTTCAATCCTCCCTGCCCCATTCCGGGCTCCCGGTGGAGATTTTRCACCTCTTGCTACCCACCCCAATGCCGCAGATGGGGACCCCCCAACTTCACCCCCACCCCAGCGCCCGCAGGGACTTCACCATCCGTCACAATCTTTGACGGCCGAGGGCAACCAAAGATCCCCTGGTCAGGCCKGCGGGGATCATCTCCCCGCTGGGACAGTGCCCGTCGCTCCGTCCGCAGCGAGACRGCAGCTGCGTGAGGAGGAGGAGGAGGATGCCCAGGCGGCAGCAGGGCTTAGCAGCCCGCCCAGCTCTAAGCCCGGCTCGCGGCCGCGYGGTTAAGTTCAGGAAGCTTCAGCTCATCCCCTCTAATCTCCCGCAAATCGCCTGCCCGCCAGCCGGCCGCGTGCCTGGCGAGGAGCCCTGGGGCGGCAGCGGCTCCGGGGTCGGGAACAGGGAGGCTCCCTGGGACGGGTGGTGCGGGATGCCGTGGGTCACAGCGGAGCGGGGCACGAGGAGCTCGGGGGGACCCYGGCACGGCCCGGGTGGGTGGTGGGTGCTGAGCACCCACTGGCTCCACGGCCTTTCCCACGGATGGAGAAACAGCAGGGAGAGCCCGGAGTGCTCCGGAGCATCCCTGGGGCTCCATGGAAAAGCCGTGGGAGCTTTTCCAGGGTGTTTTGTTGGGTGCTGCAGAGGGACAGGGTCCTCGGGTCGCCCTTGGGGAGCACTGCTGCTCCACGGGGCCCTTCCAAACCTCCCTGCGGCTCCCAGGCGCTCGCGCTGCTGCTTGCCATGGTTTCCTCGCCCTCCTGGTGAGTGGTGGGACACAAGGAGCCCCTTCCTCCTCCCAGGACTAGGCTGCAGCTCCCCGCGGACAAGGAAACACATGAAGCGGCAGCACTCTAAACCACCTTGTTCCTCTTCTTGCCTTGACCCTTGGGGCCCCCAAGGGTTCTCCTTTGGTTTGCTGGAACCTGCCCTGCCTTGGGCATCGGCCTCACCTTGGCTGCTCCTCTTCCTCGGGATTGCCTTTGGTCTGGGAGGGCTCTCTGGGCCAGGCTGTCCCCACAGCCCGGGTCTCGTGTCTGTTCCCCCCACACCTGCGTGGGGARGAGGGCAAAGCCCCCGTGGGAACCCTCCAAGCTCTGTGGAGCAYTGGGATGGGGACGCGCAGCCCTGCGGGGCTGCAGCCCCAGCGTGTCCTGACTGCGGCCGCCTCCAGCTGCAGGGACATCCAGCCCGTCCCCGGGAGTGCCCAGTGCTTCCCTGCGCTCTCCGGGCAGGTCCCCTGCTGCGCCACGACTGATCCGAAATGGCCGAGGGATCCAAGTAGGTGTCTGCCTGTCTGTCTGTCTGTCTGTCTGTCCCCACTGGCGTGGCGCGGGGTGGACGCGGCAGCCCGGGCAGGGAGGCACCGGGGGTCCCATGTCCCCTCATGGTCCCTCCGTGTCCCCGCACCCTCGGAATGGGGCGGCTGCTCCCACCTCTCCGCAGTTCTCCCAACGCCGCTGTGTTTGTTCCCTTCGCAGGGTGTTCAAGAAGACCAGCCCCAACAGCAAGGTGAGTCCGTGCAGGGAAGGGTCCGCCTTGTTCCCAGTGGGAATGGAGGGGATGTGAGAGGTTCCCCTTTCCTTTGGGCTCTCTCAACTGCCTTCCTCCATGGCCGTGATGCCACCGCAGGGCTGGCTTTTCAAAACAGAAATTAAAAGCACCTGGGGAAATCCTTAAATCTG